GCAATCCTGCCAGCACAAGAGTTTAACCCATTGCACAACCGGGGACTCCTGGGGAGATTTGGTTAGAAGATGAGGAGGACCCGAACCTTTAAAGGTGACAACTTTAAAACTTTAAATTTCATCTGGTAGAAAACTGGAAGTTAGTGGAGCTGCCACAGCATAAAAGTTGTTCTCTCCCTGATGGTGCTCCTGGCCGTTGATCATTGAACCAGCCGAAGCTTCTGAGCACTCTTTACAGGAAGCCCCACATAAAGTGTGTTGCAGTAGTCCAGTCAGGATGTAATAAAGGCATGTACTACCGTGCCCAGAACTGGTGTCTCCAGATACAGCACACAAGTTTTAATTGTGCAAAGGCATTCCTGGTCACCGCTGATACCTGAGCCTCCAGGGACAGCAATGAAACTAGAATCATCCCCAAGCTGTGTACCTGTGTCTACAGGAGAAGTGTTACCCCATCCAGCACAGTTGTATCCCTATACCCTAATCTGCCTTCCAGCTGGCCAGGGTTGGCACCTCTGTCTTGTCAGGATTTAATTTCAATCTATTAGCTCTCATCCAGTCCAGTACGGTATCCTTGGCTTTTGGTGGAAAGTAGTAATAGAGTTGGTTGTCCTCTCGTAAATATGGCACTGAACTCGAAAGCTCCAGATAATCTCTCCCAGTGGTTTAATGTAGATATTGAACAGCTTTGGTGACATAATAGATCCCTGAGGGACCCTACAGGGCACTAGCCAAAGGGTCACCCAGCACCACCTTCTGGGTTCAGTCCTCTAGGAAAGAACTGAACTACTGTAGAACAATGCCTCCTAATCCCATCCCAGCAAGATGGCCCAGGAGGATACCATGACTGATGGTATCAAATGGCATTGAGAGATCCAGGAGAACCAACAGGGACACACTCCCGCAGTCTAGATCTCTTTGTAGATCATCTACCAAGGTGACCAATGCCATTTCAATCTCCACTGAAGCTTTCTCACCAATCCTTGTTTCCATAACTAGCCACATTTTTCAAAATCCAATTCTTACAGGGACAGAAAGTGAGGTGAAATCTTCTGAACAGGGGCACAGACAACAAAACAAACACCACAGCTGAGATACATTGATTGTTGGCTGGAGTGACACTGAAAAAAACAGTTCCAACTTACAAACAAATACAACTTAAGAACAAACCTACAGAACTTATCTTGTTTGTAACTTGGGGACTGTCTGTATTTCAAAGGAAGGAACTGGCAAAACAAGCCACATCTTTAGTCTCTCTTTAGGCAAGGTATATTAAAGAAAGGCAAGGTATCCTGAAAGTCAAGGAGCCACCAAGAGTCAACAGGTGACTTGATGGAACATGCACAAAGGATATTCATTCCAATTCAGGATTACATACATGGCCATTTAGATCTCCTTAAGATAACGCCTTCCTAAGTATTTATGTATTTTTTCCCCTCACTTGACTTTATATATGATCAACTGTCGGAATTTAGGATGCAAGTGACGACTTATCTCTGCCATCATACTTGTCCAGACAGTTTTAATGATGAATTTTAAACTCCACTGTATACCTTGTTTTTGTTTTGTGTCTTTTGATACGTATTTTATGGAGGTATGCTTTAATATGTGTATTTTGTGGAGTGTTTTAAAATGATTATGTGTTTGTTTAGGTTTCAGTAATGCCGTAATCCTCCTCCAGCCGTGAGGAGAGGCGTGCAAGAAATAAATATTCTTATTCTTATATATTATTTTTGCAGTGTTACTTTTGAGGCAGGGGACTTTAAGGCGCACCCCTACACATAAGGAGCATTTATTCTTGGAGGCCTATGGATAACACGTTAAACATGAACCAACAATATCATGTGGCGGCAGAAAAAGCCAATGGGATTTTTTCCTGCATAAATAGGAGTATAGTGTCTAGATCCAGGGAAGTCATGCTATCCTTCTATTCTGCCTTGGTCAGACCACACCTGGAATACTGTGACCACTTCTGGGCACCACAATTGAAGAGAGATGTTGACAAGCTGGAATGTGTCCTGAAGAGGGCTACTAAAATGATCAAGGGTCTACACATCAAGCCCTATGAGGAGCGGCTTAAAGAGCTGGGCATGTTTAGCCTGCAGAAGAGGAGATACATGATGGTCATATTTAAATATATGAGGGTAAGTCATAGGGAGAAGGGAGCAGGCTTGTTTTTTGCTGCTCTGGAGACAAGGGTGCAGAGCAATGGCTTCAAATGACAAGAAAGGAGATTCCACCTGAACATTAGGAAGAACTTCCTAACTGTGAGAGCTGTACAGAAGTGGAACTATTTGCCCAGGAGTGTGGTGGAGGCTCATTCTTTGGAGGCTTTGAAAGAGGCTAGATGGCCAGCTGTTGAGGGTGCTTTGAATGCGATTTTCCTGCTTCTTGTCAGGAGTTGGGACTGGATGGCCAAGAGGTCTCTTCCAACTCTAGGATTCTAGGATTATGATCATGATTACTTTATACACAACACAATTAGTACACAGCAAACAAGGTCACACATCGGACATTTCCCAAATGTCTAGGACTGTGTGATGTATTGGCGAATAATGTGTGCAGATCCAAGTAGGGTGGCCTTTTGCTGCTGGCAGAAGGTAAGTTTGTCAGTGCTGATTGTTTTTAAGTGCTGGCCAAGGTTGTTTGACATTGCACTCAGTGTGCTGATCACCACTGGGACCACCTTGACTGGCTTATGCCAGAGTTTTTGCAGTTCAATCTTTAAATCCTCATATTGTGTAAGCTTTTTCAGTTGCCTCTCGTCAATTCTGCTGTTGCCTGGGATTGCAACATCAACAATCCATACTTTGTTTTTTTCCATTATCATGAGGTCAGGAGTATTGTGCTCCAAACCTCTTGTCTGACTGAATTTGGAAGAACCAGAGTAGTTTGACATGTTTATTTTGTGTAAACAAAAGTGTGGTGAGCATGTGCAGAGGAGGAAGAGCACGAGAGGCTGGAAGGAGGCCGCCTGTTGGAGCTCAGCCTGTGATTGTGTTCAAGGATCAGGGTGCTTTGGATGTGGGGAGTGATGTCAATGAGTTTCAAGATGAGAATGGTTTGGTCAGTGATCTTGATGCAGAGAATGACCAGGATATCCCTGTTCAAAGTGTAGTTTCCCATAAGAATGTCCCTGAAGGGTGTGGGGATGATGGTATGCTTTCTGAATTGTTACCAGAGAGTTCCCATGATAGGGAACATGAAAACAGCTCAGCATCTGTCCCAGCTGCAGAAATTAATGAGCAAATAGATAATGAGCAAATAGATAGATGTGAGGAGATTAGTCAAAACAGGAGATCTGAACAGTGGCTTCGGTGGTCTGCCAGGCTCCGAGAGAAAAAGATAAGAAATTCTCAGTTAAAACAAAACCAATTACCGAATGCTAGACACTTAGCTAACAAGGAGATAAAAGTCCCAAGTACAAGATATGTAGTCAGATGAAGCATCGTTTGGAATCAAGTCAAGATCTCGTTCTTGTTCATGGAAGTTTTGCTCAGGAAATTCTTGTTTTATGTGCCTTTGTTTCATGATTTTGATTCTTGGATTTTATGCTCTATATTCATGCCTCGGGTTCATGTTTTCTGATTCTTTGCATTTTATTTGGGAAGTTTTACCTTTATTTTTATGGACTTTGCTGAACTATTACCCTGGACTACTTTGTTCCTGCTTATCTTCCTACCTAATTCGATTTATCTATTTCTTTAAAGCGTTTTTTATCTTATTGTTTTTTAATTATCTTCAATAAAAGGATTGTTTTCCATCCAACAGCATGGTGTTTAAAGTCAGAGGGCTTTTCCTGTCCTGGAGTGCAACACCGCCAGCCAGTCCCTTCAAGGCGTGGGGGTTCTGTGTGGGAAGTTTTGCCCAATTCTGTTGTTGGTGAGGCACAGAATGCTCTTTGACTGTATGTGAACTACAACCCCACAACTCAAGGTCATTGCCCATCAAATCCCATCAGTATTTTCTATTGGTCGTGGGAGTTCTGTGTGCCAAATTTGGTTCAATTACATTGTTGGTGTAGGTCAGAGTGGTCTTGATTGTAGGTGGAATATAAATCCCAAATGACAAAACTAACCCGCCCCCAACCCTACCAGTATTCAAATTTTGGCTTATTGGGGATTTGTGCCAAATTTGGTCCAGTGAATGAAAATACTTCCTGCACAGGCCTGTAGCCAGGATTTTGATTTTTTTTTTTGGGGGGGGGGCTGAGTCTGAGTGAGAGAGGATCTACCCTAGCAAACCTTTTGTATCATTATCCCAATCCCCCCATGGAAATGGGATATATTGAGCATGGTGATCAGATCATGATATAAATAAACATAATAGTTTAAATACTGTACCAGTAAGGCCTTCTTGCAGACCATCCTGAGAATTTGGGGGGGAGGGGGGCTGAAGCCCCTTAAGCCCTCCCTCCTCCCCCTACATGCTTGTTCCTGCATATCAGGTATTTACATTACAAGTCATAACAGTAGCAAAATTACAGTTATGAAGTGGCAACGAAAATACTTTTATGGTATTTTAAAGGGTGGCAGTATTAGGAAGATGCTTTGGAGGCAAGGGACTCTAAGGCGCGCTAACACATAAGGGGCATTCATTCTGATTCAGGATCAAGCGGGTGGCCACCAATTCACCCTTCAGAGAACTGCTTCTGAAGGATGCTTTCCCCCTCTCAGGAAGCAGCGCGGCATTACTTTTGCGGCAGCGTTTCCTTCTTTTCCAGGTGGTACAAAACGTGGCAGTCTTTTGGGGTGACTATTATTGTGTTATTTTTAGACCGGAGAAAGGGAGGGGTGAGCCGGAGCCACACGTGGCAGCACCAATGCCTGGGGGACCCGCAGAGGTGAAGGCGCACGCGTGTCCCCCTTCCCTGCAATTCTGCGTGATTTATTTATTTGCGACGGGGAAGTGGGAGCGATTGGCGCGCCGCCCCCAAACTTCTCCGATGTTGGGTCTCAGAAAGAGAGGGGAAGAGCCTCCCTTGGCGCCACCGGACGGGGAAGAGGAGGAGGAGGAGGAGGAGGAAGAGAGCCGGGCGGGGAGGGCGGCATCCCGGGTGGTAACCACACCCCAAAGGGGGAAAGTCTTCGGGTGCCGGAGGAGGAGAGAGGGTGGCAGGTGGTGCGGCTGCTGCTCCTGGCACCGGCGGGCGAGGACGCGGGCGCGGAGGAAGAGGGACGGCTCCTGGGACCCGCCGCCCGCTTCTCCGCTTCGTACTCTTCGGGGCAGCCCCCGCCGGCGCCTCCCGCCCGCTCCTGGGGGAGCCCCGAAGGGCCAAGGGCGCGCCATGGCCTCTCCCCCGGGACCCCCGCTGGCCCTCCTCTTCAAGGGCACCTTCGTCCACGCCACCCACGCCTCGCCCATGGACCTCCTGCCGGGACACCTCCTGGGCGTCGAGGAGAGCGGGAAGGTCAGCCGCCCCCAGAGGGAGACCACACCGGGAAGGGGGGCGGGCCACCAGATCGCCACGGGGCGCCCCAGCCCTTTGGGGAGAGGGGAAGGACCTCCTGGGAGCGGAGAAGGGCTTCTGTCCCCCTCTTAGAGAAGGAGAGGCATGAGAGACATGCCACCAGCTGCCCCGCTTGGGCTTTGGAGGGTTGTGGCTGGGTCCCCCTCCCCTTCTCAATCTGAGTCGTAGAGTAGGCAAAGGGTGTCTTGTCGAAGGCTTTCATGGCCGGAGCCACCGAGTTGCTGTGAGTTTCCCCAGCTTTATGGCTATAGTCTTTTTCCTTCCTCCTTTGAGCGGGGAAGACATGTCACCAGGAGCTCGCTTTGGCTTTGGAGAGTTGCGGATGGGTTCTCCCTCTCTCTCTCTGATAGTAGAATAGGCAAAGGGTGTCTTGTCGAAGGTTTTCATGGCCGGAGTCACCGGATTGCTGTGAATTTCCCCAGCTTTATGGCTATATTCCAGAAGCATTCTCTCCTGGCGTTTCGCCCCCATCTATAGCAGGCATCCTCAGAGGTTGAGAGGTTGTCCCAACCTCTGAGGATGCCTGCCATCCATGTGGGCGAAACGTCAGGAGAGAATGCTTCTGGAACATAGCCACACAGCCTGGAAAACTCACAGCAACCCAAAAGGTGCCTTCTTCCTTCCCCCTTTGAACGGAGAAGACATGCCACCAGCAGCCCCGCTTTGGAGAGTTGCGGATGGGATTTTTCCCTCTCTTCCTCTGAGAGCAGAGTAAGCAAAATGGTGTCTTGTCGAATCTGGGGAGAGCGCGGATGAGCTCCCTCTGTCAGCTCCAGCTCCCCATGCGGGGACAGGAGAGAAGCCTCCCACAAGGATGATAAAACGTCAATAACATCCGGGCGTTCCCTGGGTAACGTCCTTGCAGGCGGCCAATTCTCTCACACCAGTTTCTCAAGTCGCTCCTGACACGGGGAAAAAAAGTCATGGCCGGAATCACTGGGCTGCTGTGAGTTTTCCCAGCTTTATGGCTATATTCCAGAAGCATTCTCTCCGGACGTTCCGCCCACATCTATGACAGGCATCCTTAGAGGTCGAGAGGTTGTCGCAACCTCTGAGGATGCCTGCCGTACATGTGGGATAAACGTCAGGAGAGAATGCTTCTGGAACATGGCCATACTGCCTGGAAAACTCACAGCAATCCTTTGAGCGGGGAAGACATGCCACCAGCAGCCCCGCTTTGGAGAGTTAAGATGGGTAAGAATCAATGAGTTGGAAGAGATCTTGTGGACCATCCAGTCCAACCCACGGCCAAGAAGCAGGAAAAATGCCTTCAAAGCACCCCCGGCAGATGGCCACCCAGCCTCTACTTCAAAGCCTCCAAAGAAGGAGCCTCCACCACACTCCAGGGCAGAGAGTTTCACCGCTGAACAGCTCTCACAGTTAGGGAGTTCTTCCTCATGTTCAGGTGGAATCTCCTTTCTTGTAGTTTAAAGCCATTGTTCCGCATCCTAAACCCCTATCACACCGCTGAATAAAATCCCACATTTTCTTCTTTGAACTGGGATATATGGCAGTGTGGACTCAGATAACTGAGTTCAGAGCAAATATTGTGGGATTTTCTGCCTTGATATTCTGGGTTATATGGCTGTGTGGAAGGTCCCCCCAGTCTCCAGGGCAGCAGAAAACAAGCTTGTTCCCTCCTCCCTATGACTTCCCCTCACATATTTATACAGTATATGGCCATCATGTCTCCTCCCTGCCTTCTCTTCTGCAGGCTAAACATGCCCAGCTCTCTCCCTGAGAGTAGAATAGGGAAAGGGGTGTCTTCTTCCCCTTTTGAGTGGGGAAGACAATGCCACCAGGACCCCTGCTGTGGCTTTGGAGAGTTGCGGAGAAGCCATGGGATCCCCGAGGGAGAAGGGTTTGGGGAGAATGGATCATATTTCTCTTGGAAGTGGAATACCTGGAGAAGTGTGGAGGGAGATCAGGCTCAGTCTTTCCCCAGAGAAGAGAAGACAAATGGTGTTTTCCCCCCTTTTGAAAAAGATCTTGGGAGTCCTCGTGGACAACAAATTAAATATGAGCCAACAATGTGATGCGGGGGCAAAAAAGTCAATGGGATTTTGTCCTGCATCGATAGGAGTCTAGTGTCTAGATCCAGGGAAGTCATGCTACCCTTCTCTTCTGCCTTGGTCAGACCACACCTGGAATCACACTGTGTCCAATTCTGGGCACCACAATTGAGAGAGATATTGACAAGCTTGAATGTGTCCAGAGGAGGGCGACTACAAGGATCAAGGGGAGAATGGGATCCCTGAGGAGAACTGCAAGGGGAAACTAGGGTCCCTTCCACACAGCCCTATATCCCAGAATATCAAGGCAGAAAATCCTATATTGTATGAGTGTGGACTCAGAGAAGAAGAGAAGAGAGGGCAAACAATCTATTTTCTTCTCTCTGTGTGTGTGTTTGTGTGAGCCAAGAGCAGCTCGACTGGGGTGTCTGTTGGGAAGCTGTGAAGAAGTCATGAGATCCCCAATGAGTTACATTATCTCCTGAGAGTAGAGGAGGCAAAGGACGGTATGTTCTGAGGTTATATCTCTCTTGAGAGTGAAGATGACAAAGTACCTCCATAGTATTGTCGAAGGCTTTCATGGCCGGGTTGTTGTAGGTTTTTTGGGCTGTATGTCGATTTTTCTAGTAGCATTTTCTCCTGACGTTTCGCCTGCATCTATGGCAGGCATCCTCAGAAGTTGTGATGCTTGCCATAGATGCAGGCAAAACGTCAGGAGAGAATGCTTCTAGAACATGGCCATACAGTCCGAAAAACCTACAACAACCCACTACCACCATAGTGTCGAGGAGGCAAATGGCATTAATAATAATAATAATAATAATAATAATAATAACAACAACAACAACAACACTTTATTTGCATTGTTTTTCCCCTCTTTGAGCAGCCCCACTAGTGTGCGCATGGGGAGCTATTATGAAGCCATGAGATTCCTGAGGGGTTCTATTTCTGAGGCCCCTTCCACACAGCTGAATAAAATTCCACATTATCTGCTTTGAACTGGCAGTGTGGACTCCGATAACTCACTTCAAAGCCGATACTGTGATTTTTTGCCTTGATATTCTGGGTTATATGGCTGTGTGGAAGGACACTGAGAGTAGAGTGGGCAAAGGGTGTCTTCTTCTCCTTCCCTTCTTGGAGATGAGAAGAAAGAAATGCAACGAGCAGGCCGGTTTGGGGTTGGAGAGGGGCGGAGAGGCCATGGATCCCTGAGGGGAGAAGGGTGAGGAGAAGTGGGGTTATGTCTCACTTGAGAGTGGAGAGAGGCCCCTTCCACACAGCTGAATAAAATCCCACATGATCTGCTTTGAAGCGGGATATATGGCAGTGTGGACTCAGATAATCCAGTTCAAAGAAATATTGTGGGTTCCATGGCTGTGTGGGAGTGCCCATAGATGTTCAACTGCCCCCGACGAGGCGAAAAGCAGAACCGCTTTGGAAACACACCCAGAAAAGCAAACGGGGAAAGAGGAAATGGGAGCTGGGTCTCAACACGCCCCAGAAGGTTATATAACTCCCTGCTGAGGAGGGAAAACAAAACGAGGCTGAGTCGTAGATATGAATGAGGGAACTGGGCTTCTTGGGGTGCAGAGAAGGCACCAGCGGCGCTTATAGCCCAAGGGGACCAAAGCCCAAAGGAGAGCGTCACATTGGTGTGGGCGCTTGGATTAGGCAGCAGGGCCGCGACCTGTTCCAAACGGGGACCGGGAATCAAGGAGAGACGACTCTCACATTCATTAAGTCATAAGCAGTGGCTTCGTTTCCGGGTTCCACCAAACTGCTTTTCGCGGTCTGGGTTAAACAAGGCCACAGAGCCCTAGATCCCACAATATCAAGACAGAAATCCCACATTAGCTGCTTTGAATTGGGATATATGGCAGTGGACTTAGATAACCCAGTTCAAAGCAGATATTGTAGGGTTTCTGCCTTGATATTCTGAGATATAGGGCTGTGTGGAAGGGCCCAAGGAAAGGAAAGAGTAGAAAAGGGTGGCATGGATGGAGAGAATGGTGGAAACCCAGGCCCCTTCCACCCAGCTGAAAAAAATCCCGCGTTTTCTGCTTTGGACTGGGATATATGGCAGTGTGGACACAGATAACCCAGTTCAAAGCAGATATTGTGGGATTTTCTGCCTTGATATTCTGAGATATAGGGCTGTGTGGAAGGGCCCAGAGATATTACATGTTAAATCTGAAAGCTTTGTCATACTGTGCCAAAAGGAAGAAAAAAGTTTGTAGATTTTGCAGAAGAGTGCATGGATGTACATTAAGATGCATTGATTACAACAGGTCAGGATGAACTTTCATTGTAAACTACCGGTATTGTTTTCTGTGCAGGGAAACACTTTGATCAAAATGCAGTGGCAGTCCCACCTAGGGCTCTTCCACATAGTCCTATATCCCAGAACATCAAGGCAGAAATTCCCACAATATTTGCTTTGAACTGGGGCCCTTCCACGCAGCCCTATATCCCAGAATATCAAGGCAGAAAATCCCACAATATACTTTGAACTGGGTTATCTGAGTCCACACTCAGATAACGTGGGATTTTCTGCCTTGATATTCTGGGATATCGGGCTCTGCAGAAGGGCTCCTAGAGTGGAGTTATGAAACCAATGGACTTCATATGTCTGCTGATTTATCAAGTTCCCATTAATTCAGGGGATAAGTTATAATTACAATCAACAATCAGGTTTAAGCCAGGCCTGGGCAAACTCCAGGCCTTCAGATGTTTTGGACTTCAACTCCCAGAATTCCTAACAGACTCTGGTCCTTTCCTTTCCCCCCGCTCAGCTGCTTAAGCCAGGAAAAGGAAGGGCTAGCAGTGGTTCTCAACCTGTGGGCCCCCAGATGTTTTGGCCTTCAACTCCCAGAAATCTTAACAGCTGGTAAACTGGCTGGGATTTCTGGGAGTTGTAGGCCAAAACAC